GATAAACGATTACAGCTACACCTCCTACAGCAGTTCCATGATGCTCCAGCTGCAGGGCACTTTGGCTTTGCAAAAACTTATGAACTTCTAACAAGAAAGTTCTACTGGCCTAATCTAAGGACTACTCTTCAAGACTATATATCTTCTTGCACTACTTGCAACTTGAACAAACCTACACGGCAAAAGCCCTATGGCCTCTTGCAGCCTCTACCTATACCAGAACGCCCATGGGACTCCATATCCATTGACTTTATAGTCAAGTTGCCTCCTTCTATTCCAAAAGGGGGTGCTACCCCTTATGACTCTATCCTTGTGGTGGTAGAAAGGCTCACAAAAATGGCACACTTTGAGCCTTGCAATGAGACTATCACAGCTTCTGAACTTGCGTGGCTATTCCTCAAGGTGGTCTTTAAATATCATGGAATTCCTGGACACTGGATCTCAGATAGGGGAGCAGTTTTCACTTCAAACTTTTTTTACGTCTCTAAACTCTTAAACATGGAACAACGCTTCTCTACAGCTTATCACCCTCAAACAGATGGCCAGACAGAGAGAGTCAACTCTGTTATTGAACAATATCTAAGAATTTATACAAACTATGTGTAACGCTGACTTCTAAACGATAGAAGACACAGAGGTTCTCTTGCGTAAAGGTTTACTTATGAGAGGAGGCAGGGGATCAGACACAAAGGCTTCAAGTAACACGTTACTAGTATATAACAAATACTGTATTGAGTTGAGCACGAAGCTCCTATCTAAGGAAATACTATCTACTTATATAGTGGCGTCATGCCTCATGGGTAATCTGGATAGTTGGCGGATAGCTAGATATTCAGGATAGTTTGTGGATAGCTCAACTATCCAATATCCACTAGTTTCTGCAACTATCCATTAGCCCCGTCACATGGCAGCCTACCCCGCTTGCCCCCTGTGACTCACACGTCACGTTACTAGGCCCTGGTCCTGTAACCATGACGTCACGTTACCGTAGCCGTAACACTATGCAAAGACAACTGGGCAGATCTTCTCCATCTTGCAGAATTTGCTTACAACAACACGGTCTCTAACCCACAAAAGAGACACATTTCTATGCAAACTATGGTTATCTGTTACGACGGAACAAGAAGGCTGGCCAACTACAGGACAGGAAGGAGGGAGGTCGCATGAGACCGGCCCTGGTACCTGGAGGGGCAGTGGGGAATAGTAGTTCCGAAAGTATCACGTGATGGACTCGCAGGATGATGAGAAGAATCCTAAGAGTCCATGACTCCGAGGACTCGAGTGAGTTCCCAGGAGTCCACTAGGCACGTGACGGACTCGCAGGAGGATGAGAAGAATCCTAAGAGTCCAGGACTCCGAGGACTCGAGTGAGTTCCCAGGAGTCCACTAGCCACGACGCCACTATATAAGTAGATAGTTAGTTCTTAGATAGGAGCTTCGTGCTCAACTCAATACAGTATTTGTTATATACTAGTAACGTGTTACTTGAAGCCTTTGTGTCTGATCCCCTGCCTCCTCTGATAAGTAAACCTTTACGCAAGAGAACCTCTGTGTCTTCTATCATTTAGAAGTCAGCGTTACATTATCACCCTAGGTTTGAAGTGGCAGAACTTAATTGTCCTGAAAATCTCAAAAAACCTTCTGCTACTGAAAGAATCATCTACCTTAAGGGCCTCCAGGACTATCTCAAGGTCCACATACAGCGTGCACAAGACGAGCAGGCTCAGGGCTTTAACAGGGGGGTGGTTGCACCACAATTCAAAGTTGGTGATCAAGTCTTTTTGTCTAGAAGACATATCACAACTACTAGACCTTCAGACAAACTTGATACTAAAAGACTTGGACCTTTTAAGATCACAAGGACTATTGGCAAGAATACTTTCGAGCTGGCATTGCCACCTACTTAAACTATTCATAATGTCTTCCATGCATCTCTCTTGTCTAAGGCACAAGAAAGTTCCTTAAGACCACTTCAGTCTCCTCCACCTCCTGTTCTGATTTTGGATCAACCAGAATATGAAGTAGAGTCTATCCTTGACAAAAAGATACTTAGAGGTCAGGACTACTTCCTCGTTAAGTGGAAAGGCTATCCTACAAGTGACAACACTTGGGAGCCTAAGAGAAATCTAAAAAATGCATCCAAGCTTATTCTAGAATTTCTTTCTAAGAAAGCCACCTGGCTAAAGGGCAAGCACACAGCTAACAAACGTCCTTAAGAGGGGGATCATGTCATACTGACATTCGTTGCACTCAGTTTGCTATCAAACTCAAGAGCAAACTTAGAAATCTCTCCTCGTATTCCGGGCGAGATGGAATACTGTAGTCTTTTTGGCTCAGTGGGATGTAGCGCGAACGTAACCATACATCATTACAGCAAGCAGGCAATACAGTAAATCGACTATCACATACTTCCACGTCTTTTACAAGCTTCCAAGCATTAATCTTGTTATTCTTTGTTTCTGAAAAGTCAGTGAGGTGCTAACCTCTGACTTACCCCTGAGTTCTCAGACTCAACATTTGTTGCAACTTGTCTAAACCACTTCACTACATCATACACCTGATTGCTGCATTGTGGAATAGTCTAAGCTATGACCCTTTGGCTCTGTTTCCTAAGACAGTGTGTTGTCTTAGTAAATATCATCCCCTTCCTTGGGTGGCTAGATTCTCACATCTGGTGCACCCACCATTACATTATCCTCTTCCTGGGTCTTTGGCAGTTCATCTTCGCTGGATTCTGAGGATGAATAGTATCACCTTGCTTTCCTGAGTCTGCCGATAGTTTACCCTTTTTGCTTTGAGATAAGAGACTTTTTCATTCCTGAATAGTGACTGAGAGTCTTGCTGTCCTGTGCATTGTCGTTGTGAATCCAGAGAGTAATAGCTGATGGATCTTGGTTTCGCTGAAGAAAGGGTTGGCAATTGGTCCAGCAGAAGCTACAGCGAGGTTACTACTCCAGCATGTATGGTAACACCATGGTTTACCAAATTCCATCATCTCAGACAGAGGGCCCCAGTTTGTAGCTGTAGTGTGGAAAATCCTCTGCAAAGTTTGGAAAGTTACAATCAAATTGTCTACAGCCTTGCACCCAGCAACGGACGGGCAAACTGAGAGGTGTAATGCAGAACTCGAGCGATATTTACGGGCTCATGTCAACTATCTCCAAGACAACTGGGTTGAATATCTTTGCATGGCTGAATTCGCAGCAAATGCCCTTCCATCAGACTCAACAAAAGTTAGCCCATTTTTTGCAAACAAGGGTTTCGAGCCAAGAATGAGCTTTGATATAGAGGATAGCACGTTCCAAACTGCCCTTCAAGAACATAAGGACATAGCTCAAAACATGAAAGATATTTGGGAATTCCTACAAGACCAGATCGCCCTCTCACAAACCCGAATGGAGCACTTTGCAAATCAAAACAGGAAGCCAGCACCAAGATATAAGATAGGAGACCGAGTCTGGCTTTCTACTCGGAATATCAAAACCCAACGACCCTCAAAGAAACTTGACCATAAGCAAAGTTGGTCCATTTCAAATCCTTGAGCGAATTGGGAATGTTGCATACCGACTCCAGCTACCACCAAGCATGAAGATACACCCTGTGTTTCATAGCAACCTCTTACGACTTGACTCAGATGATGCTTTACAAGGCCAGCACCATGAACCACCCCTGCCAATCATTATAGAAGATGAACTTGAATGGGAAGTTGAAAAAATCCTAGATTCTAAACTCCTACGGAAGAAGCTGTTCTATATGGCAGCATGGAAGAACCACCCACTAGACAACACTTGGTATCCTGCTACAAACTTCAACAATGCACCTGAACTCACACAAGCTTTCCACCGAAAATACCCGCAGAAGCCACGATGATCTTACTCTTGATCAGGAGATCAATCTTACTAGAGGGGGGGTAGTGTTATGATTACAGCTCACAGCTTGTCACAGCTTGTTACGGTTGTTACGGTTGTTACGGTTGTTACGGTTGTTACAGTTATTACAGTTATTACAGTTGTTATGGGGATTACGGGTGTAGCTTAGCCACAAGGTTACAACCGCTAAGCAGACAACTGTATGTTATGAGGAATAGCCTCACCTTCCTTCCTTCTTCTTCTTCTTCTCTCTTTAGATTCAATCTAGATTACTTTTCCTGGACTGGCATCATGACCTCTATGACCATCGTAACAGTTGCAGACCGAATGCATACCGCATGGGTCCACACAAAGAAAAACATGGCAAAGGCACAAGAGGAAATGTCTAAGCACGCGAATCGACGCTGAAGGGCCATCAACTGGGATGTAGGAGATAGGGTGTACCTATTGACCAAAAATTTGAAGAACTCTCGCCAGCCGCAAGTTGGGCCAACAATGGGTCGGACCATATATGGTGTTGAAACAGATTGGGCACACATTTCGATTGCAACTACCTACCGGTTCTCAAATACATGATGTGTTCTCACCAGACGTCCTCATGAAGGATCCGAACAACCCCCTACCTGGTCAGGATCCGCCTGAGCCTAGCAGCGAAGTGATAGATGGCGTAGAGGAATGGGAAGTGGAAAAGATCCTCGCCGTGAGGCTCCGACGGAAGCAACTACAAGACAGGGTTTGTTGGGTAGGATACAATCCGGACCCGGAGTGGTACCCAGTGTTGAACTTAATGAACTCTCCCCATAAACTCAGAGAGTTTCACATGGAGTACCCACAATTACCAGGACCACCACAGGAACTACTTGGGTGGGTTATGGCATGGGAGACAGGACAAGACTACGATCACGAAAGGACGTCAAAAGGGGAAGAAACAGAGTCGTTGCTACCCACAATTCTAAACTAAGCACTCTGAGCCAAGGCGCCCTCACCACCGGAACCCTTGCGTGAGTCACCCTTCCCAAACGTCTCGCCAGCGTCGCAACAAGGGGCTACCACCATGAGCGACGAAGGGTCAAAGTGACCCCACACGAAGGGCCAGGCCCGAGTCCCCTCCGACACAGGGTCTTCCTCCACCTAGGCCCCGTAGGCTGCCCCAACTTCCCCATCCTCCCCCCCTTCCTTCCTCCCATCACCCCGAGTCGGGACGACTGCGGGAACGGCAGTGGTGGGCAGTTTGCCAACAGCATCCACCAACTCCCCCAGAGAGCCTGGACGCTCTCCTGTTCCATCCGCAGACGGCACAGCGACGACCGAATTTGCTGCCCAGAGTCAGCACCGAAACAATACAAGGGGAAGGGGTCTACTCACAGCAAGCCCCGACTTGAGGGCAGCCCGAGTGGCGCGTGCCTCCTCGTAGAAGGGGTCTACTCACAGCAAGCCCCGACTTGAGGGCAGCCCGAGTGGCGCGTGCCTCCTCGTAGAGGTCACACTCTGCCTCGGAGCAGAACTTTGGGATGCTCTGGGCGGCCAGGAGGGTCACCCAATTTGCCTCGGTGGCGGTGGCGGCAACGTTGGCTGGAATGAGGGGGGTGGCCTCTTCGGCAGCACGGAGGGCCGCAAACTCTTCCCCAAGTAACCAGGGCAGCTATTCCCACCAAGATCAGCACCAGCCAACCAACCCCAACCCGAATCCCACAAGAAAACCTACCGGGACGCAAGCTGAGTGCTGCGCAGTGCAGTACCCGCACTTGGAGCTGGCGGCGGACCAGACGCAATCATGAGACGGGATCCCACAAGCTTTTGCCCGAAGGCAGCGCAGACAGAGCACTCGGAATGCAGCCGAAAGGGCCCCGTAGGGCGTCGGAACCGGCATTGTCAAAAGTTGGAATTCTACAAATCCCGTCAGCCCAGCACATGTTGTCACCCATGCACCAACGCGTTCCCATCACCTACTCGTTCGTGTGGATTGTAAATATACTATCCAATTTATCAGTACACCGTCAAACAATCCACAAGAAGGGGTAACTTACCATAAATGGAGGGGTGGTCGCTGGCGTTGTTGTTGGAGACAACAAGAAGAAGTGGACGCAGCTGCGTAATTGTAAGGATGCCTCCTTACCTAGATACTCGAATAACCCGCCTCAGAGCTGTTACGGTCACCACAAGCATGAAATCCGACTCAGTGTGGTTTCGAACCAGTAGAGGAGGACATAGCGAGTTACACTATAATGGGGGACGGTAAGGGTGTAGGGTTCAGGGTCGATGCGGACCTGTTGCGGTGGAAGGTTCAGGGCTAGGGTTGGGATAACCGAGTCGGGCCCGTTTCGGGTACTTAAGGAAACAAACTTAACGGGGTTCCCCCTTCATCTTTTTTGTATCCTTCATAGTAGACCTATAGGATAGCATCCGTTTAGCCTCTGACTCGCACTCTCATATGCTATTACTGTGAGCTGGGTGCCCTGTGTCCTTACAGTAACCATAGTCTGGCTTACAACAATGAACTCTGAATTGGGTTAGCGTGGCCACTTCTCCTTTCATACTTAGGACAGTCCAACTCGAACACTTCGCGGATGTGATTCGGAGTCCACTCGGACCACCAGGAATGCACCCCAGAGCGAACAAAGCAAAGCTCAACCAGAACGTTTCGGGGAGTCCACTCGGACCACCACAAATGTACCCCAGAGCGAACAAAGCAAACTCTGGTTTCGCACACTAAACGGAGCCAATACGGCACAGATCTATTATGACATACAACGCACCTTCCCGACACGGCACATAAACAGGGTTGTTACAGAAGCAGTTACAAACAGAATTCCTGCCAACATAGAACGCTCTTCTCACGGATACCATTCGGAGATGTTGCGGAAATGATTCTCACAGCGTGTTTCGCAGACAAAACACTCTCTTAAGAGGGGGGGTAGTGTAAGGATGCCTCCACCCTCAGTGATGGAAAGGATCGGAGTCGGGCAGTTTACAGTCACGTGGGGAGAGTTAGGGCAGGTTAGCCGAGTCGGACCCATTTCGGGTACTTAAGGGGATTGACCCAACGGGTTCCTCATCATCTTTTTTGTATCCTTTGTAGTAGACCTATAGGATAGCATCCGTTTAGCCTCCGACTCGCACTCTCATATGCTATTACTGTGAGCTGGGTGCTGTGTCTTTACAATACCATAGGACTTGAGAGTAGGAGCAGTGTCTGGCAGTACAGTCTTTTGTACATCTACAGGAGAGTCTGTAGCCATTGGAACAGAGCTAGCATTAAGGTGGGTGGTAGCGGTCGTGCTCACAACCTCAGAGATTGGTGCTAGCATCCACACAAAGCGCCTCAGAGCCAAGCTCCTTCTGATATCATGGGTAGTTGAAATCACTGGGGACAAGAAGGGCTCCTCGCTGTTTTAGTTATGGTCAAGAAGGGCATTGTATTTAATGTTGGGGGAGACCTTAACCCCTGTCTTAAACTGGCCGGAGCATCAAGCAATAACGAGGCATAATCCACGCTCTGCAACCGCTGAGTCAAGGGTACCTTGGATCTCTACACCAGTGTACACATAGTTTGGGTCCATAGCAGCCATATACAATGTCTATTATACAACGCTCTAAACACGTCTCTATAGTGTTACGGCTAAGTGCTAGTGCTATGGCTAGCGCTTACGGCTGCAACCTCACCTGATGGATAACATTGGGTATCATGGATATTATATTATCCATGTTATCCAGGGCGATCCACAGAATGTCATGTGATGGATAACATTGGATATCTTGGATATTATGTTATCCATGTTATCCACAGAGATCCATGGAATATCAGGTGATGGATGACATTGGATATCATGGATATTATGTTATCCATGTTATCCGCGGATATCCCTTTGCACGACGCCACTATATAAGTAGATAGTATTTCCTTAGATAGGAGCTTCGTGCTTAACTCAATATAGTATTCTTTACAATACTGTAACGTGTTACTTGTAAAGCCTTTGTGTCTAATCCCCTGCCTCCTCTGTCAAGTGAACCTTACGCAAGAAACCTCTGTGTCTTCTATGGTTTAGAAGTTAGCGTTACAACCATAACCTGTCTGACTCTGATCCAATCCGTCACTGAGGGCGGAGGCATCCTTACATAGAAGCAAGTACGAGATGATACGCTAGAAGCCTCTAGATCCGTGCTGGGACATCAGAGACTAAAGGGGGGGGTTATTGTAATGGGTGCCCCCGTTACAGGAGATGTGTTATATAAATCGTGTTACGCGTATTCCGGGCGAGCCGGAATACTGTAGTCTTTTTGGCTCAGTGGGATGTAGGGCGAGCGTAACCGTACGTTATAGATTGTTGCAGCTTTTCGCCGGCTAAATTTTCGATCACGTGGAATGGCTTCAATTGCCATAATTATCTGTCTTTCTTTATGGGTTGCCATTGCTGGTTATGCTACGTAGAAGGTGGAAATGTGTGACGCGTGAAAATGTGCGCCGCTTAGTGGTGTGCGTCGCTCTGGGGTGGACCACGTTAATGTTTTTCCTCCCACGGCTTATTGATTTTGCCCAAAAGTAGTTTTTCGTATAAATTACACTGTGAAGAAACCTGGGGTTACCTTATTCCGTTGGTGCACCTCAACTTTGATCAACTATGGGGGATCCGGCCAGTTGGATGCACTAATGCCGTTATTAGAGGTTGTCTCATTGGTGGCCCACGTATATACTGAAATATGTTTTTTATGGAAGCTCCTACTGCTGAGAGATGAGCTTAGCTCTGATGTAAGTTTATCATAAGAACCTACATCTCACGGTTTGATCAGCATGCTTTTCATAGTCCCATCTCGACCCAAGTTGGCAATTTTACGACCCTTCAATTGTCTCGTGAGACGTTTCTACAGCGGTTATCAATCCTCACATTTGCTAGTTCTGTTTGTAGCTTGCCGGCAGAGCCAGTGGTCCACTCGCAGGCTGGGATTTATCATGGCTGGCACCTGTCAAACTTTAACTAAGATGCATTTCTGGGTATAAAATTTGCCCCAGAGCCAGTCCGATTTACGCCCGCTGTCCTCAATCATAAAATGTACCCAGCACCATTAAAACTCTTTAGATTTACATGAAGTGATATACTGGCTGGTTAAATTCACGGTAGTACGTGGATAAAACTGTGGTGGTGAGATGAACACTCTCTCCACATTGCACGCCATAATTGACCGTTGGCGGGTGGCGCCGCCACTAACCCAAGAGCTCGGCCCAACAATTCATTTTCCCATATTACATAGGAATACATAAACAACGGAATCATAGGCGTAGGCTTTAACTAACATGATGTGCGGGGAGCAGCATATGCAATGGGGATTGTGGGCGACGTGAGGGGTGGGGAGTGTAGACAAGAAAGTAAACCACAGAGATGAGATTGTAGACAACACCATAAGTGACAGAGATTGTGGACAACACCACAAGCCACAGAGATTATGGACGGTACCGTGAACAACAGGATTAAATAACGAGAGTTGGTTATGGCGACTTCAATCACGGCGTATAGGGATTAACAAGAAAGTTATAACAAGTTGACATCCCACTCGACGGAAAATTAAACAACATCTTGGCGTCATAGCCGCAAACGCCATGTGGATAAACACCCATTCGACGCTATCCATTCTTTTCTTCGACCTTGCTCAAGCCAAGTACATCGTGCCCGGTGGGCGATGGCACGACACCGACGGCAATTTGATAAACGCCCATGCCGGCGGTGTCACCGTTGACAGAGAGGGCAAGTTCTGGTGGTTTGGTGAATACAAGCCCCAAGACCAGGTGGAAGCGGCGGCGTCTGTGTCTATAGCTCTGATGACCTCGCAATATGGGAGCATCACGGTTTAGCCCTCCAGCTCATTCCTAACTGCCCCTTCATCTCCCCGAAAACCATCATCCAGCGGCCAAAGGTGATCTACAGCAAGGAGCTCGACAAATATGAGGTAAGCCCCCCCCCCTTCCTAATCCCAACACCGCTAACTGTCTAGATGTGGTGGCATGCAGACAATTCCGCGTACGGCCCCATCCTCCAAGGATTGGCCACCTCAGACACCATCAGCGGACCATACACGTTCGTCGACGTAACCGCTCCTCTCGGAAACTGGTCTCAAGACTTTGGAATCTTCATTGATTACAAAGACGGCCATTCCTACTCCCTCTACTCAAACGGAGACCGCAAGGAAGGGCGGGATGTTTACATCAGGTTGATCAACGAGACTGGCACCGGCCTCGATGAGGTGGTTCACCGTTTGTAAGTTCCCCTCCCCATCCAACAAACCCTCTAATATCTCAGTGACAAATTCGATCTTGAGGCACCCACGATCATTCAGACGGACAACAGCTACTATGCGTTGATGAGCCACAAGACCAGCTACCGTCCAAACAGTATGTCCCCCAATAAGAACCGGCCCCTCTAACTTTGTAGATGTCGTTGCTTTCCACATCAAGTGGCTGAGTTAGGTGAGACGAGTGAGGAGGTAGACAGAGAGTTATGATGTTGTTTGCTTTGCAATATTCCTGAAACACAGCTGATTCGTGACTTTCATGCCCGTCTAAAACCAACATCTGATATGGTCCTTTTGCACGACTGCAAGTATGTTTATTGAAATGATGAAGCCATTCTAGACCTGTCTCGTTGTTGGTCCATCCATTGCTTGTTGGTTTAATTACCCAATTGTGAGGAAGGCCGCCTTCAGTATACCAACTTGAAAGGTGACATTTCCCTTGAACTACTAAAAACGGAGGGATACTCCCGCCTTCAGCATTCACACAAACAATTGCTGTAGCCCATTCCTGATTGCCAGGCTGAACTGCCTTGCCTCTGCCACGTCAATCGGCGCGCGTAACAACTAAAGCTGAGCTAATAACGCCCATCATGAAGCCCGTCTCGTCAAAGTTGTAGAAATCGCAGACTTGGATGCCGTACTTTGCTCTCATGTTCTGCACAAGTTGAAACCATGCTCCAATAAGCTCAGGATCTTCGCACAAGGCTCTTTGAAAGTCATAAACGCGATTAAAACGCGTCTTTAACTCGGGGCGGCGTTGTATAAATCGATATGCCCACCGCGTCCCAACGTGCTTTCCCCCACGCGATTCAAGGATATAATTTGCCATATCCTCCACACTAGCAGGCCGAGGCGCAAATCCTCTTGCATCCATATCCAATATATTTCGAATAATCACTTCCTCTTCTAGCTCAGTCAATTTATGACTATTGGCTTTGGTTTCGCGTCGAGAAGGTCGGCCGGCCATTCTATCAGTAAGCGTAGAATAAGTCACTTTATATAGTATTGATGCAGACCTGCGATTAAGCGATTTACATGTTTGAAGAGCCTCAATAGCTAGAATGATTCGCGCTTCTTGGGTTTGGATTTCCATTGGTAGTTGTGGAGGAAACACGTGTTGAAGTTCGTAGGTAGCTAAGTAGGGAAAAGTTCACGACTCGATGACATTCACGACTCGGTGTACAACCACGTTATAGAATATTCTAGAATCTATAATCTAGGTATATATAGAGCCTTTAACTCACTCCTTAACTAACTTTTCTATTAACGTGCGTGCATAATGAATGATACAACATAACGAATGATACAGTCCAATGTGCTCACTTAACAAATACTATGATAATTCCACTACAACGCTATAAATCAATTAAAGCTATGTAGAATACTCATCCTCAGATACCTCTATTACCATCTGACAGGTGCGTGCATTGTGTTTTGTGCCACCACAGTTGCCACAGCGCCTTGCGCGTGTTTCTTTCCTTGGCTTCCGACCACTCCCTGCCTGTGTTTCTTGCTTTACTTGTTGTGCAAGGTCCCTCTCATCTTGTAACTCTTGTGCTTCGTGTTGTGTAAGTGATCCTCCTTGCTGTAGGCGTGTTTTTTTAGCCCTTCTGCGTTTGCTAAGTTGTTCCATCCCTTGCTGAAGCATTTCATTCTCTGCTTTTAACAATGCTAATTGATACATCATATGTGATGCTCCCTTTGCAAATTGGTCAACAGCATTGTAAATAGAGGTTGGTGAGCTATTTTGATGATGTGCAATTCGATTTTTAATGAAAGCTGTCTGTGATAAGGCTTCATTTTGGTTATTTGGTGTCTGGGAAACCCAAGGTTGAGCGGTGCTAGGGCGGGAGTTTTGTGGTGTCGGGGTTCTAAATCTGAGATCAAGCATAGAAACCACACTATCAGGATCAAATGGGAAAAGCCCAGTGCCTCGGAAGCCTCCTCGGATGTTGTTTTCAGTCATTGCAATAAAGAAAGCAGCGTGAAATGTGGGAAAGAAGTCATCCTTCGTAATATGTGTGATGTGAGCCTGCATCATGTTTTCGATTTGCTGCCCATAAGCCCTTTTCAGTGGGCCAAAACACCCAACATCGAGTGGTTGGAGGATATGAGAAGAATGAGCCAGCATACATAGAGTGATAATATTGTTTTCCTTGCAGTATTCCTCAAATTCGTCTGAGTGATGGCTTTCATGACCATCAACGATGAACAAACAATAACCACCTACAGTTCGAGGTTTTGTATGCTTCTCGAAATGTCGGATCCAATCCATGCCTTTCTCATTTGTTGTCCAACCATTATCTGTAACAGCAATTACCCAGTTTGGTGGAAATCTGCTGTTTTCATACCAAGACGTGAGGTGGTTTTTGCCCGCAACAATAATAAATGGTGGAATCGCCCAGCCTTGGGAATTAATACCCTGTATTACTGTAGCCCATTCACGATTGCCAGGCTGTACTTTCTTTGCCTTCGTACGTCCATCAGAGCTTGTTACCACTGTTGCAGTTGAAATAATGCCCATCATAAACCCTGCCATGAAGGTGGTGGCTTTGATGGTATTTCTGTAGACCGTAAATGATTGATTGCTGTAAATACCATCTGTTTTGACGCTCCATATCCTGCATGATATGAGTCCTCTACATACTTGTAGACTGCCTTGATTTGCGCGTCTGAGAGTATCCTATTATGTCCTCCATGTTCAAGTGGTCGAGTATTTAGAGCGTCCTTTGCTCCCATGCGACGGAGGTTTGAGTAGAGGGTATTTTTATTGACATGGTATATTCGTGCAGCAGTGACAGGCTTTTCAAACGGGTTCTCATTAAGGAACTCGAGGGCTTGCTCCATAGGATCGAGAGTATTAGAGTGTGAGAAAGCCATTTTGTCACAAGTGAATAGGTAAGAAAGAGAAATGTATGTGTTTTCCGAAGTAATTTCCTTCTCGGCTATGCGACCGTGTGCAACTTGCTTTCCGTGTGCAACTTGCTTTCGCCGACCACCTGCAGGGTGGTCGGTGCGAACACCGACGATTATACTCTAAATTAATTTTGGCTGTCTTGCTTCGGACCAATCACATAGCTCGGGTCCCTCAATTTAATTCGTGCCTCAGGCGCTAAATAACCCCGCTGCCGTTGTACGCCACATTTATATAAACACCAACTCACTTCATCGTACAACAGCAACATCAAACCATGGCCGAAGAAAGCAAACTCATAGACACAAAAGTGCCCCAAGAGGTACCGGCCTCGTCCGCCCCTGTCTCAGCCACCGACGACGCCTCCTCCGGCTCCGAAGACGATGCCCCACCATCCACCTCCACCGACCCCAACGCCGCCCCCAAAAAGAAATCCAAGAACAAGCGCTCGAAGAAGGACCGCCTAAAGTCCGCCGTCGGCCTCGCCTCGAAGGATGATAAGCCGGGCGGGAGCAGCAGCGCTGCGGACCACAACCCCGTCAGCGCGCTCTCCAAGGCGCAGCTCAACGAACTGCTGCTCATGAACCCCACGCTTGCCCGCGAGGTGGGGCTCAAGGATGGGGAGGAGGCGACGGGGACGGCGATTGAGGCGCTGAAGAAGTTGAGTCTGCAGGATATTATGACGGGGTTGGCGGCCAGCGGGAAGAACGCTAAGGATATTGGGTCGTATAAGTTCTGGCAGACGCAACCAGTACGGAAGTTTGGAGACACGGGCGAGATTGAGGAGGGGCCGTTCAAGCTTATTGATTCGGAGAAGGTGCCCAAGGAGCCAGCTGCAATGATGGAGGGGTTTGAGTGGGTTACGATGGATCTGAAGAAGGATGAGGAGCTGCAAGAAGTGTTTGACTTGCTGAACGGGCATTATGTTGAGGATGAGGAGTCGACGTTCCGGTTCAACTACTCGAAGTCGTTCCTCAAGTGGTGAGTACTACTACCTATTTCAAAATACACCGCTAACATCAATTTTCAGGGCACTTCAAGCACCGGGTTGGAGGGCAGAGTGGCACGTCGGTGTCCGGGCTTCGAAGTCAAGGAAGCTCGTCGCATTCATCTCGGGTGTCCCCATCGCCTTACGAGTCCGCCAAAAGGTGCTCAAGGCCACCGAGATCAACTTCCTCTGCATACACAAGAAGCTGCGCTCCAAGCGCCTCACACCCGTTCTCATCAAGGAAATCACACGTCGCTGCTACCTGCTCGGCATCTTCCAGGCCATCTACACTGGCGGCGTGGTCCTGCCAACGCCCGTAAGCACGTGCAGGTACTTCCACAGGTCGCTGGACTGGATGAAGCTGTATGAGGTTGGTTTCAGCCCGCTGCCAGCGAAGAGCAAGCCGTCATACCAGGTCTCAAGGTACCGTCTGCCGGAAAACACAAACACTAAAGGTCTACGCCCAATGGAGGCTAGGGATATCGACGCCGTTCTGGACCTGTTGAAGCGCTACTTGGCGCGCTTCGATATGGCACCTGTCTTCACGCGAGAAGAGGTTGAGCACTGGCTCCTCCAGAAGAAAGCAGATACCCCGACTAAAGACCAAGTAGTCTGGTCATACGTTGTCGAAGTAAGCTCATCTAAATCCACAGCTCTACAATCTCTAACATATCACAGGACCCCCAAACCAAGAAGATCACCGACTACTTCTCCTTCTACTCCCTCGAGTCCACCGTCATCGACCACCCCCAACACGAAGTCGTCCGCGCAGCCTACCTCTTCTACTACGCGACGGAGACCGGGCTCACGACACCGTTCGATAAGCCGGCCCTCAAGGTACGCCTGAACGCGCTGATTAACGACTGCCTCATCCTCGCCAAGCGATACAAGTTCGACGTCTTCAACTCGCTGACTCTGATGGACAACGTGCTGTTCCTCGAGGAACAGAAGTTCGGCAAGGGAGACGGACAGCTGCATTATTACCTGTATAACTATAACGCGAATCCGATTGCGGGTGGGGTGGATCGGAGGAATGAGGTGGATGAGGCGGGGATGAGCGGGATTGGAGTTGCGATGCTGTAATGCTGTAGGGGAGGTGTGGATGAACCTGGGATGGTGAATAGGAGTATAGCATGATCAGGGGATTTGGACGAAATGTGTCAGGCCGACAGGCCAGCTTGATATGCAACTGTCAGAATCCGTCATGTCCATCGTCTCGTCTCGCGCCCATCCCTTTTATCGCGTATGTAAATATCTTACAAAGCACCATTGAGCGTACATATCCCAAGCTGCCCTGCTGCATGGCAAGCTCTAACAATAGCTCACAACAAACAGCTGCCACGTATCAAGTAAAGAAACATCCCTGAAATAACACCCGACTGGAAAGAACCTCCACTGCAGAGTCGTGAACGGTGAAGGGAGAGCGCGCTTACCCGCATGAGCATCAGAAGAGACCCGACCTAGCCTCGTCGTGGGTACCATCGCCCCGGTTTGCCCTATGTGACCCCTGGCGTAGCCAGCTAGTTTTGGGATTTCTATGGGGTTTGGGATGGAAGTGTTACTGATAGGGTGATGGTTGAGGGAACTGGGTTATTTGTGATCTGATGAAACTAATAGCCCGTGGGAGGATGGAAGAGACACAAAAGAGTCATGGAGAAAGACGCGGGGGGTTTATAGTCGATGGTGTTCCCCTAGATAGAGCCTCGGAGGAGAGGGAGCCATCGACAACCACCCCTATCGAGCCAGGCAGCTATGGCAGTACTGCTGAGGCGTTTGAAGCGGCGCCAGGTGATACTTACCACCACGGCAGCGCTGCTGTTCATTTTTCTCACGACGGCGACGCTCTTCCGCGCACCTGCTAGTATCACATATCGCCTCCCCTTGGGAGGAAACGCCAGAGCACAAACCCAGGCACAATGGCACGCACAATCAAGTAATATTAGGGGCAAGGCCGGAGCATGATACACGCCCCTCGCTACATTAGATGCTCTCCCCGAGTATGACATTCCATCCCCAGGACCCAGTCTATTGCGTCAGCCGCTTCGGACTCAAGTATCTCGAGAACCAGCGCGATCGATCGGTCGGTACTGCACCGCTGATTCCCCTGCGAATCTGACATGTTTCCACAGCCAGAGCGGACCAAGGGGCAGGAGCGGACGGATACGATGTGCTTCGGCCGATCAGCGAATTTCAATGCCACAGCGCAAAAGTTTAATTTGGGATGCGACAGGAGGACGCTGCAGGGCCAAGAGGCATCGCGCATGCCTCAACTGGATGACTTCAGGTACTGGTATGGGACGGGACCACGCGCTGTCTTGAACGATCGGGTGGTTCTAGATCCCAGTGTTACGATCGTGGAGCCGGCGCGGAACTTCACTATCCTCGTCAAGCGCGAGGGATCGCATAATCCATGGCATAGTCCCTCTTCGCGAAACGCCCCACCGTCAGAGCGAGAAATATGACCACCGCCCTCACAACCAGCGAGAACATCATCATCCCCTACCTGGAGCCAGCAACCCCGTCTGGCAAGGCGACTGGGACGTCCACAACTGCGACCGCTCGCCTCTCCTCACCACATTCGCCCAGCGCATCCTCTCCTTCTACGACCTCACCACCACCCCCACCCCCACCCCGACATCGTCCTAACCCTGGTCGACCGCCGCTCCACCCGCCGCCTCCTCGGCCAGGACTCCCACCTCGCCGCCCTCCGGGCACACATCCCACATCTAAAAGTCCAGCGCATCGACTTTGCGGAGCTTAGTTTCGCGGAGCAAATCAAGGTGGTGCCCGGAATTGACATATTAGTCGGTGTCCACGGCGCGGGGCTCACTCATGCCATGTTCCTGCCTGAGTCGGCGGTGGTGGTTGAGAGAGGGACTGGATACGAAATAGTTGGAGGTAGATATGGGCGGTACAGCCTGATGTCGCCCGGTGCAAACTGGGATGTGTTTAATACGCCTGTCTAGATCTATCATGATAGTATTTTAGATTGAGTCATAAACTTTTGTGCCAACTACATAGAAATTGAATAGTGAACTATCAATGTTTCCAATGGTGCCAGGGCAGTCGGCACTGGAAACAAAGACACGATCAATATCCAATTCCATCTTTGCCCATATTGCTGTTTAACCTGAGCAGCTGGCGAGCTACGCTTCAACCACGCACGCCCTAAGCTTTCACCTTGTAAACACTCAATCTATTTCCATTCCCGCACAACAGGTCGCCATTGCCACCGCAAGTCATACTGCACTGCCCAGCATCAACCGTCGTAGCGCCCGTAGTGACGGTATTTCCACACCAACACTCAGTGCTCCACTCAGTCCCAAAGTACCTGTAGCCACCACAGAAAGTAGCGCAGATCTCCAGCGTCATGTCATCGCTCCTGAGCATATCCTGCGCCAACGTACGCTGTCCCTGGTTGTCACTGAGGCAGCCGTGAAACTCAAAGTTGCCAACGGTATCAGGTTGCTGGGGACCAGTCGCGGCGGAATTCTGGTAGACCGACAGACGACGCGAGCCTCCGCATAGTTGCGTTGCGTCTCCAGCGCAGGGGTGGTCGCACTCTCCCAATGGCGCTGCATCAGATCCTGCTGCAACCTCATTGCCGCACCAACACTCTTTGCTCCACTCGGTGCCGAAGTATTGGTAAACAGCGCAGAAGGCCGCGCATTTCGCGAGAGTCATGTCGTCCGCAGCGGTGGATTTAGCAGCGAATGCCCGACCGGCAGCTGGCTCGGCCCAGCAGTATAAAAATTCGTAGTCACCAACCTTATCTGGGCTGGTTGGGGTTGTAGGAACGCCGGTGCCGGTTGGTGGTGCGGCAGTGGTTGTTGGAATCACAGCTGAACTTTGAGCGGCGGCCGTGGAGGTGGGAGGCTTGGCGGTACCGGTGGGGCTTACGCCGTTGCGGAAAATCACCATCTCAACGGGCATAAATTCATTGTTGATCTCTAAGAGGAGCATAGGTGTCAGCAATAGTAACACATGTCCCCCAATTCGTGGGGCCTTAAATTACTTCCGTGGGGCAAGAAAAGGATAAAAGCAACTTACTGGTGTTTCCGGGGGGTGAGTATCGGAATTCCAATGTTCCCACCGCGTCCCGTATGCCGATCTGCCCACCAAGCACGGGCGGATCAGTGAGGCGAGAAACAAGTTTCAGCCGGATCTGCAGCTCATCCGTGTCTGGATCACAAGCATACTCTCCGTTGAAAACCGCAGATGGGTGGTATTCCCGCGCCGTCATGAACATCTTGGTCGTGTCATCTTGGTCGTTGTACTAGAAGAGGTCAGCTTTACAATTGCTCGTCTCAAGCGTCCCAGCGTCCCAGCGTCTCAGCGTCTCAGCGTCTCAGCGTCCCAGCGTCCCAGTGTCCCAGGGGCCAATTATGGAAACCCTACCTCCAGATCGATTACAGAGTGGATCGCATTGTAAATGAGACGGCCATCTTGAAGATACAGCACGTCGTTCGTGGCAACGCCTACAGGGGGCAGCACCAAATGCTCGTCGTCGCCATTGGCCCTGAATCTCATGACCTTGTTGTGGACTGTGGGAATGTTCGGGTTCTGAACAACAATGCTGAACTTGTCAAGGATGGTGTTTCCCGGCGGCGTGGTAGGAATTGTACATGCTATCGTGCTGGTGACGGATCCAAGCAAAGCAAGGAGAAGGCTAGATGATGGACGAGGCATAATGTTGGTTTGGCAGCAACGAAGGTAGGCCGTAAGAATGGCAACAGTGAGCTTACAGGCAAAGGAATAATACTCAAATGGAAATGGAAACAGCTAACTACCATTACTTATAGCTGGTATTTATCCCCTCCCTCCGTTCCTGTCCGTTTCTGTCGCCTATAATTCTTTATCCAGTGACGTGGTGGTGACGGCCGGTGTCAGCCCCAGCTTGGCCCCTAAGCCAACGAATACGAAGCCATATGCCGCCAAGACAATAGCACCGATGGCATATATTGATTGATGCACCTTGCGGATTATTATTAACAATGCCTCATCACAAATAAATTGGAAAGCCGCATGCGCTTAATCGCTTAGACGGGGTTGTCTCGCAATCAGATGCCTGAGCCGCACGGGTGTCGCTCCAACAGTTAGCGGGTGCTATAGAGGTGGCTGAAGCTCATGCCACGAACTACATAATCTCGTGCTAATTAACTGCTTGGCCTTCGCCTTCGCCTTCGCCTTCTTTGCGAACTCTTCTGCATACGCTCTTTTTAAGACGACTCGTTTCGCCAGCTCGAGCATTGCCTCCTCTTTGACCTCGGGGTTGGCCATACCCGTATCCCAGGAGCAAGAGACTTCCAGAAAAATAGCACCAATACTTCGACTGGAAGTTTCTCCCTCTTCGCCAGTAACTTGGCGTGGCCGTGGTGATTTGGGGTCCATGTCTAAGACAGCACCATAATAGGAGGAGGGGGCTTTGCTTCACGATGCCTTAAATGCAACCGGCTCAGAACCCTTTTCGCCAAGCTGCCTCCCGAAGTGCCTGGTTCGGGTTGAGGGGGAGCTACCTGTGGCATGATAGTATTACACACTTTCTCATATCTATACGGTAGCTCGAGAAACTTCTGTCTATCTGAGACGTGGTAAATGAAAACAACATTCTCGCTGTTGCTGTCGCGCATGCCGTATTCAAATATTGGCCCGCCTGGGTGACAAAATTCCATTTGCATAATAATCAATTTGTCGTTAATCGAAAATTGTCTGGGTTCTTCGTAATTCTCGGCCGTAATTCTCGGCCGTAACTCGGCCGGATCAAAGTAGGGTTTTTGATAGCATCCGAAGACGAGCTGCGGGTCATGAGTCGGGGTCAGTACCATTCTATCAGCCTGGTTTTCTGGAAAAGTTTGGATCCTGTTCATTATGTTTTCCCCGACGTTGTTATCACAGTTACATGTTGAAAGGTGGAAGGCAGAAGGTGGGAGGTGTGAGGTGGAAGGGGAGGTTAGAAGTTAGTAGTTGGTTGTAGGTTCATTGTTGGCTGGCCGTTGGTTGGTCGTTCGTGTTGGATATATTGTACAGTAAATGAAAATTACCCTGTAATTTAACCGTAATGAAAATTATACCCCGCCGCTCTCACTGTGGCATAAGATGGCTTTGTCAAGCCACCTCAAACCACAACGCTAGGAGCTGCCGCTAGCCTCATATGTAATAGAGGCACCAGAGAGGTTAATAAGGGGTATAGGGGGCTTACGGGCAGCAAAGGGTGGAGGAGTAAGGGACAGCAGGGCCAACGGCTGTGGGGGAAGGTGAGCGTCACGTGGTGGCTTATTTAATCACGACAGGGTAGAATTTTCATTATACAGTCATGACGCGTTAAGTCGATACTCGATTCACGTTACGTCGATACGTTTTGCTGGCCTCAACCCAAGTTCGATATTCTCGATATTTACGCTATCGATGGTATTTACGGGACCCGAGCTATCGACTTAACGGATTATGACTGTAATTTTCATTTACCGAACTAACCGTATACTGTAATACCAGGCCCCTAATCGGACCGCTCTAGGCACGAGGCCTAAGCCACCACGAAGGTGGCGTAGGACTGCCATATACGCCGGGCGTAGGGCAGGCTGGTGCCAGGCAAAGCTGGGCGTAAGATCGGCATCAGCTTCATACTCCGTAGAAGCTGGGCGTAAGGATCAGCGCCGGCTCTGAAGCTGGGCGTAGCTTGGGCGAAGCCGGGCGTTTGAGACGGGCGGATCGCCCAGCTCAAGCTTCAGGAGCCGGTCTACAAATAGTATGTAGGCCCACTAGATAGATAGTGATTGAATTCAATTGTCCTATATACTCTACGATCACGACTGTGTTACCCGTGGAAGCCCCTAATTCCGACTGTCTACTCTCTGCATTTCAAAGCGATACTTCTGCTTAGCTACTGTATCGACTTCCTCCATTCATTTTCTTACCAAATTTCCAGTGCCAACTCAGTTGCTGAATTTGTTGAGAGGATTTCACATCCGCACTGCATTGCGTGTAGCTCACAGGGGATTGGTATGGCCCGGCCGGTCCATAAACATTCGTTTCAGGGCTGGCCGAGGACCAGCGTTTTGAATATGGCCCATTAGCAGAGCACTCTGATGGCTGTGACTCCGAGCGGTTTGGATGGAGGAGTTCTGAGGCCATGCCGGATATCCGGGTGACTGGGTGATAAATTGGTTACGGGGACGCAGTCGTGGAGTAGGCCGAAAATAAGTAATGATAACATGATTTTTGTGATAAGACTAGAGAGTTGCGGTGCCTTCCGCAACAAAAGAGCAAATAATAGGCGTAGAAATTAATATTTTGCTGCGATAACTTAGGGAAGTAGGTGGGAGTGTGGATACACCTAGCGGAGACGGGCATAAAGGGAAGAACAAAGGGAAGGGGAAACGGAGAGGGAGTAGGTTTCTTGGGTGGTTTGGGTCTTGAGGTGGTTGGACTTTTTGAGGGGGAATTGCGACTGTGCGCTGATTTGTATGTTGAGGTGTGCCGCGAGGAATTTATAGTTCAGGGATTCAATAAAGCCTATTGGTATTGTTCTCGAGGTTATAGAGCAGTATATGCCCTCATCATCCATTAATTCTCCTTTGCCAACTCCCTGCCCTCTCGTCTTGGCTTAACTATCTTCTGCACCCAACTTCGAACGTTGATCCTGAATTTCTATCCATGTAACTGCATGACACGTTATAATTTCTAGCTATATGGACAGACTAATCCATGCCATATACCATTTCTTTATCCCTTATTCATCGTTCACCCCTCACCGCACAGCCCTCGAACTCAAACTGGCAAACGCATCCGGGCTGTGGCGCCCACTGTGCGCGTGCCATCCATTTGGATCAACGCTCATGCTCTCCTGGCTGACATGTCTCGACGGGTTCCCACCATTCGCGCTCCCGATCCCACCGACGCCGCTGGCGGCTAAGAGTCCGCCATGCGGTGCGCCCCCAGCGGCTTGGTTGGGCTGGGCAAAGGGCGAGGGGTTGGTGGAGGAGCCGTGCATGAAGGGGTTTTTGGAGCCACCAAAGCTAACGCTAGAGGAGAGGGGGCTAGATAGGCCGGGTTGTTGTTGAGTGGGGTTGCCGAATTGTTGGTTGGTATTCACGAGCTGGGGTTGGTATGGGTTTTGGGTTAGTTGTTGTGGCTGGTTCGCAAACTGTGGCTGTTGTTGTGGCTGTGGCGAGGGGAGTGGTGGTGATTGTGGGTTGCTGCCATATAGCGCCATAATGCTCGTTTTATCAGCTCGCCCCGTTTGTTGAGGAAGCAGCTGCTGCGGCTGTTGCTGGAAGTTGTTGTAAGGGTTCAGCTGCTGCTGCATTAGCTGAGGCTGGTTATAAGGATTGAGCCGTTGAAGCTGTTGCTGCTGCTGAGGCTGCTGCATCTGGTTAAACGGATTCGGCTGCTGTGGCGTTTGCTGTTGGCTGTATGGATTAAGCTGTGGTTGCTGCTGTTGCTGACCCGAATTAAAGTAGTCTTGCATCGACATTTGGGGCTGCGCCTGGCTACCCTGCTGCATCGGAAACGTTTGGTTGCGTGTTAGGGTATGGAATGGGTTTGGGGCAGTCGCAGTAAGCGGCGTCACATTCAAACTTTGAGTCTGCCTAGTCGGCTGCTGTTGTAGGAAAGGATTATGCCCTGGGCTCGTGGTAGGTGAATATTGGGTCTGCAGTTGCGCGCCATAGGGCGAAGGGGCGTATTGGCCTTGAGGGATAGACGGCATGGATGGAGCAGCAGCAGCCATGAACGGCTGTCTCTGAGCAGTCCCACCTGTGTGGTGCGGAAACAGTGGCTGGTTTGGAGAGATTGACATGTTTTGGAATGGCTGTTCGACATTGGTGTACTGCTGGTTCAGATTATACTGCGACTTGGAAGTTGCAAACCCAAATGGATTGAGGGAAGCTTGCTGCGGATTATTCTTGCTTTGCTGTTCCTGGAGAGAAAGAGCACCTGTGGATTGCGAAGACTGTGGTGGCGCGGATGGCATATCCCATGGGTTCTTTGATGGAGTTGGAGAAGCTGGAGAGTCTTTCGAGGGATTTATAAGGAGTCCCGCGCTCAATGGTGCAGTCGAAGGTGTCCTCGATCTTGATGGTGCCTCACGTTCTCCAAGCCGTACTAATGTTTCGAGCGTTTTGTCCATATTGCCATTGAATCCCTTCAAAACCGTGGAATTCCGCTTGTCGTTCTTGAAGCCCATCTCACGAAGTTGGCTCAGTTTCTTTTCCCACTCTTCCACAGATCGATCGGATGCATTGGAACTCCCGAATATGCGTGCGGGCTTCCCTTTCCTTGGTGGCGGAGGACCCTCATCATCGTCCCACCTAGCATTGTCGTTCCGGCTTTGGTTCTCTAGATATACTCTTGCGGCAGCCTCCCTCTTCGCCTTCGATGACATGGGAAAAATGGATGATGCCGACCTAAATCCAAATCTCGACTTCTGAGGGGGCGCCGGGAGGGGGTGCTCGTCGTCGGAATCTGTGCTGCCAGTCCTCCGGTGGCTGTTCGAGGTAGTCTCGCGGCGGACCGGCTCGGGTTCCCGGCGGTTTGACTCAGGTTCCCGGTATGCCGTGGATGTCTCATAGTCGCGACTATCGTCGTAGTTCGTAGCTGGTGCGCTATTCTTGTATTTGTTTCGGATGAATCGTTCCACCGCCGAGTCGACCTCGTCCGCATCAACTGGAAGCGGTGGCCTCGTGTTCTTCGGATTATAAATCAGGTTCGACATCGTATTTCCCCTCTGCTTCATATTCTGGCTTGTGTTAGAGCCGATTACGCATCACCAAGAAGGACTCGACGTACCTCGACTTGCTCATTAGACCACGAATCCATGCTTAGCGACTTGACCTTCGAAATATGGGTGCCCAACCCGCGGTGTACGGCGGCGCATCGCACACACAGAAAAATGCCCAACTACATAGACTTAGTACTGATGATTCATGGAAACTGCCGCAGACGGAACTGGTGCTCAACTTACACTCCAACTCGCCCAGCCTGGTATACGGGTTAGGGTCCTGAGATCTCATGTGCGGATTGATTGCGGCGGCTCACCTGGGTTTCTCGCTCCGCAGTCGGCGCATGTCGAATTGCCCGGAACGCTCTTGACGAGGTTCTGCAGTGTACGCTCATTGCGCGCCTGCTGCCGTTTACTCAATCCTGACGACATAATGGGGTTGCGTTGTGTATGTGTGGCCAACAGTGTATGCCCAGCTAGGAACCGCGGTCAAAGAAGGTCAAGCCAGGGTCCAGGGATCGTCGCACAGAAGGACAAACAAAGTAATACCTCAAGACGCCATGTAGAATGCAGAAGAATATACAGTAGAAAGAGCGGCAGTTAACAAAAGAAGCCTTGTAAATACATAAACAACAATTTAACGACAAAGAGGAAGAAGGGAGATTGAAGGCGACGACGAAGACGACGATCTCAAGAGGCAAACACAACTGTAGGGGTGTGGTGGTTAATTGAGGGAAAGGAGGTTGTTCTTAGCTAGGTGTGTCGAGTAAGAGCGCTAAGCTATATTAGGGGCATGGGCGGCGGGGATCGAGCGTTGGAGCTAAAGCACGTGGTATCCGCGCTTGCCTTGGATTTTGGCGGCTACGATCCACTAGTACTCGAACAGAATCTATAATATACTACAGCAGTTATCGTAAAATGTGCTGACACGTGACCGCCGATAAGGGACCACCAACTTTTTCCTATATTTGTGATTTGTAAAGGGCGGCCCGTTTGTAAAGGGCGGCCCGTTTTCAGGAGCGACCCGTGCCCGTTACTCTCCTTTTACTCTCCTTTTTCTTATGGCATAACGCTTCATCTGCCTGCTTCCTGGCCTATAGAATAGCTTCATCATGTCTGTTGCTAATGTGGCTGTTGCTATTAACAGCCCGGATTCGTTTGATTCCTCACCGCGTCAAGTGTGTGTTAAGTGTAGTTGCTGGCGGCCCGCTTCAGACTTCCGCCCTCGCCCACGAGGCGGCCGTTACACTACTTGCATTACCTGTTCAGTTAGTACCACCCCTTATATATCTAGCAGTCTGTTAATATTCTATAGGAATTGTGGAACAAAATCCGTAGGATCCATGGCAGTAGGTAGAGAATATAAACTGAAAATATAGTCATGAAGCAGTAGGGCCCAAAGTGATAATTTTGTAATGCATATTCTTATAATTGAAGCTATTCTAACTACTATATATATATACTGTTACGGGCTCTATTCCTGTGCCTGTTCGCGGCTCGGATCCTGAAACCCTCCTGGTTTTCCTAGAGCTTCAGAATCGAAGCTTTAGAACTGGAAGATCCAGTATCCGGAGGATCACGAAGCTGGCTGACACAACTTCAGTATCAAGGCCCTGATCCCTGCTTCCGGGCTGAGAATTCAACAGGAATTAGCTAAGGCTGCTCGCCGGTCTCGAAATGCGTTACAGGAGCTTAGCGGATCTGCTTTAAACACTCCTCGAATTACTCAGTCTGTTTCTGCACGCCCTGCGCCTGATATACTATTAAATCCAAGGCCTGCTCGACGGGTTCGGTCTACTATAAATCTACAGGAGGTTGTTGCAGTCAACCAGGCTCCTAGAGCGGGCCGCCAGAGGGGGCAGACGGGCCGCCAGCAGAATACCCCTATTGCCTTTATATCAGAATACAACTCTTTAACACCCCCACACTTTACCGGTCGTATGGATAACGAGTGTCGATTCTGTGGTGCAATGTTCTTTATAGGGTCGAAGGTTCGGGCTGATAGGGACGGTTCATTTTTTGGAAAGAAGTGCTGTTTAGATGGAGCAGTTCCAGATTCCTACCCATTACAGAAGCCGCCCCCTTATATTACATATTTATATGTTTCGGACGCTCCAGATTCTACCTCCTTTCGCAAGAATATTAAGGCCTACAACAACGCTCTGGCTTTAACGTCCTGTAGCTTCTCAGAGGACAGCCGTTTAGACAGCATTACAGGTGGTAATCGAGGCGTGAGAATGGTTACTGTCCATGGAGAGTTAATGCATTACCAAGGTCCGCTAAACTCTATAATGGGCCACCCTGAGGATGCTGCCTTTAATCAGCTGTTTTTCTACGACCCAGATGAAGCAAGTAACACGCGGCTACTACGCAATCCAAATCTTGATTCTACTATATTATGACGTTTACATGTGGAGTTAATGGAGTATAACCCACTAATCCAACGGTATGCTACAGCCCGCGAGTGTCTACGGCAGCAAGAGCAGCTTCCTGGTCTGTTTACCTTACTCTGGAATCCAGCTGCACAGTTAGTTCTTGAGTCAGGTGCTGATAGATGGCGGGAGAACCTTCCTACAGCAGAGGAGGTAGGGGTGCTGATTCCTGATAACTGGAATGAGAAAAGCCACCGAGATATTGTCTAGCGGTCTGCGGAATCGACGGGCAGATGAGCTCGCGCATGTCCATTATTAGCCCAACAAATGCCCTATATATTGTCTTAGCGGTCCGCGGAATCGACGGGCAGATGGGCTCGCGCATGTCCGTTATTAGCCCAACAAATGCCCTATATATTGTCTTAGCGGTCCGCGGAATTGACGGGCAGATGAGCTCGCGCATGTCCATTATTAGCCCAACAAATGCCCTATATATTGTCTTAGCGGTCCGCAGAATCGACAGGCAGATGAGCTCGTGCATGTCCGTTATTAGCCCAACAAATGCCCTATATTGCTCTTTCCGATGGGGGAATATGGCTGGCATTATGGATTACTGTTACCTGGTGAGGGAGAGAAGCGTCTAGAACAGCGGATGTTCTATAGACGTATACTACGGTCACGGGTTGGGCCTGGCAGCTTTTCTCTATTAGTCCGCGCAGGTCGTTTATTCCAACAATACCTGTGTAATGCCTTCGTCGGCAAGAACCAGGATACTATACGGTCCACTTTATACTCTGGGCTTAGTGATGCACTGGTCCGTCAGGACATTACTATGGCCGAGATTGGTACATGCTTTGTGCTTCCGTCAAACCATATCGGTAGCTCTCGCTCTATGCACCAGCTATATCAAGATTCAATGGCTATATGTCGCTATTTTGGAAAGACTAACGTAGTTCACAAGCGAGTCGCCTACACAAGCTCACCGCCGATTTTTTCTTGGCATCATACTTTTGACTTTAAACTTACATAACTTTTTTTTTAAACATGACAACTTCGTACGAAGAAAGAAGTATGATTCTTGCACTTCAAGTGCTTAAATCAAACCCAAAACTAAGTGTAACTCACATTGCGCGAATCTACAATCTTCCTCGTATGACATTGAGAGATCGACACTCTGGAAAACCTGCACGATATACAACTTCAGTTAAGTCTCGAAAATTGACAATATTAGAAGAAGAAGTTGTCGTACGACATATTCTTGACCTAGATTCGCGAGCATTTCCTCCTCGACACAGTGCTGTTGAAGATATGGCGAATCGATTGCTTGCTGAACGCGACAGCGGACGCGTCGGAAAGAACTGGACTTCAAACTTCGTACGACGACAACCACAACTCTGTACGCATTTTAATCGAAAGATCGACTATCAGCGAGTTCAATGCGAAGATCCTGACGCGTATAATGCGTGGTTTCGACTTGTACGAAACATGATTACTAAATATGGGATTCACGAGGAGGACATATACAACTTTGACGAGACGGGATTTTTAATGGGCCAAATATCATCTGAGATGGTTGTAACGAATGCTGAACGAAAGAGCAGACCTCGTATGACACATCAAGGTAATAGGGAATGGATTACAGTAATTCAAGGCATTGGATCGTACGGATATGCGCTACCGCCATTTATTATTGTTGCAGGGAAAAATCACCTTTCGTCTTGGTATGAAAACGCTTCTTTGCCGTCAAATTGGGTTGTTGCTGTTACGTCAAATGGCTGGACAACAAATGAGCGAGGGCTTGATTGGATTAAGCATTTTAATCGACATACACAGAGTCGTACGAAGGGTAGATATCGACTTTTGATTCTTGACGGGCACGAAAGTCATCACTCAATCGAATTTGAGATGTATTGCAAGGACTGGAATATTATTATTCTTTGCATGCCAGCACATTCGTCTCATAACCTTCAGCCACTTGACGTTGGTTGTTTTCGACCATTAAAGCGTTCGTATGGAACTGAGATTGAGAAGTTGATGCGTGCGCATATTACACACATCTTGAAAGAAGATTTCTTCCCTGCCTTTCACATAGCGTTTCATACAGCAATGATTGAATCAAACATTCGAGCAGGGTTTCGCGCTACAGGGCTTGTTCCGTACGATCCAAACTATGTAATCTCAAAGCTTGATGTTCGACTTCGTACGCCAACACCAACACCTACGCCAACTCTACCTGTGATTTGGGAACCTAAAACTCCGCACAATGTACTTGAGACACAATCTCAATCAACATACCTTAAAGAACGGATTATACAACATCAGAATAGTTCACCAACTTTGCTTTTACGAAGCATTGATCAGGTTGCGAAAGGTGCAGCGAGTGCAATACACGAATTGACGTTATTACCAGAAGAAAACGCTGCACTTTGCAAAGCAAATGACTTACTTAGTCAACGTCGTCGTACGAAGAAACGTCGATTGCAAGAAGGAGGAGTACTTACTGTCGAAGCTCCAAGACTCAGAGGCTCAAAGAGAGGCTAATATACAATTACAAGCTGATTTGCGAGAAAGTAGGGGTCGTATGTGTAATGGTGGGTGCACCAGATGTGAGAATCTAGCCACCCAAGGAAGGGATGAATTTACTAAGACAACACACTGTCTTAGAAAACAGAGCCAAAGGTTCGTAGCTTAGACTATTCCACAACGCAGCAATCAGGTGTGTGATGTAGTGAAGTGGTTCAGACAAGTTGCAACAAATGTTGAGTCTGGGAACTCAGGGGTAAGTCAGAGGTTAACACCTCACTGACTTTTCAAGGAGTAACAAGATCAATGCTTGGAAGCTTGGAAAAGACGTGGAAGTATGTGATAGTCGATTTACTGTATTGTCTGCTTGCCCTTTCTTAAGGAAAGGGCAATACTATTTATGCTAAAGGAGTGTAGTTCTCTCATTTTCCAAGACATTCCATGACTTACCAGGCTTGGTAACTGTAGTCGACGTAAGAGAATCCCATAGAACCATCTCTTAGGTTCGTAGCCTATAGGAAGTAGAAGGAGGTCCAAGGTCAGAGTACCCCTATAGACAAATTATGTCATAGACAAATTATGTCATAGACAAATTATGTCATAACTTAACCAATCTTGTGGGTAACTAAAGAGCGATGACATGTAATGAATCATAGAGGTTCGTAGGAGCTTTTAGAGCTATTGTTCATGCTCCTAGGTGTTACGACTACGAACCTCTATGATTCATTACATGTCATCGCTCTTTAGTTACCCACAAGATTGGTTAAGTTATGACATAATTTGTCTATGACATAATTTGTCTATGACATAATTTGTCTATGAC